ATCGCCCTGTCAGACTTGGATACCATGCTTGGGGAGACCGAGCTGAGGGACACCAAGCAGCAGTTCTGGAGACGCTACAAGATGCGGTTTCCATCCTGCCGATACGACCATATCCAGGGTGGCCAGGGAGATCCAGAGGATGCTCTGCGTGTACAACATCTGGCGAGTGAAAGCTCTTCAATCTCAACTCACCACCTCCCAGAAGAAAAGGAAGTTGAGTGAAGGCCTGTTCATCGAAGACGGCGAAGGCGAAGAGGTGGTGGCACACGATGTCGACAACTACCTGGACAGGCTCTTCACTCTGTTGCTTGCCTATACGCAATGGCCGGTTGCGCGGGGTTGACGGGCGCGCCGGACGCTGCAGAAGAATTGAATCTGGGCTCCGACACTACCAAGTTTGCGACAATCTGCAAGTACTTCTTTTGAGCCAAGAGGAGCACCATGCTCTCCCAGAACCTGCAATGGCTGCAAGCTCGTGATGTCGAGGGTCTACGCGTCGCCAGAGAAGAAGACCCCTGCCCCAACGGCAGCTTCAGCCATCAGCCCTACGAGACCTACCACAGGGGCTTCACAGGTGAAGCTGGGAAAGCCCATCAATGGCAAACAAGTGGCTACAACCATGAAGGAAAGCGCCACCAACTGCACTTCCAAGCGTTGAGACTCCCAGAGAAGGAGGCGGCTGCCTTCTCTGGGTCAAGTGGCCAAGGGCCGCAAGAAGGGCGACCTCTTATGGCCGAACTCCACTCACGAGGGCTTTTATCAGCTGTGGGTGGAGTTGCATCACTGTGGATTGGCTGATTGACTCCAGCCACGGCTTGGCAGATGAGAGCCGCCAATCTTCCCCTGAGCAGCCAGCTTGAAGAGGCGATCTTCATTGCTGCTGCACAGAATTGTTCAACCAAGAGCAGAGCCAGGGAAATTCCGTGGAGGTTCGAAGATGGCCGTCCGCCAGGACCCCTACTGAAGCATATCCAGATGGGCTGCCCAACTTGTCGTCCCGAAATGCCAAGCGGGTGGAAGTCGACAACAAGGCATGTGCATACGTGCTCCAGGAGATCCAGCGGCTGCATGGTCGCGGTGGTGGGAGCGTCCGGGAGAACCCTGCCAGGTAGCCATGTCTGTGGAACACAGGCCAATGGACGGACACCTCCTATGCAGCCTGCACGTTGGGAGGGGCTCATTCTGCGTCACAACATCGACGAGATTGCCCAGTGCTACCGTGTGCACGACCCGGCTGAGTACACAGCCGCTGTGGCCTTCGCAGTTGCAGCCGCACGGCGCGGGTTAGCAAAATTCACAACTCCTCGGGACTTGGACCCTCGAGCACTACGTGAGTGTGCTATGGCCCCCATGGGCGTGACCTTGCGGCTGACAGCAGCATTGCAGGAGTCTAGGCCGGGTGCCCGCAAGCAAGTTGCTGATGTCATGGTAGCCAAGGACATTCTTCAAGATGGGGCACTCTATGTCGGCCCACGCAGTTTGCCAACTTCAAGCTCGCGATGGTGGAAGATTTCATCAACAGCCACCCATTCTGCTCTTACCCAGCGTCGTTGGGTGAGAGAGGCGATGCTTGGGATGGGCCGCTGGTCCCTCACTTGTGTCACTGACCTGGACCCGCAGTTTGTGGCGGCCGGATATGACGTAACCAACGGGCCCCTACGGCCTTGGCGTCAACGAGCCATTGGTGCCATCAAGGAGTTCAAACGGCGTTGGGAGGGGGCGACCCTCCACCTGCAGAGTTTCCAATCCAGCAAGTAACCAGGCAGTGACATTGGATTCATTGTAGTCCTCCTCATCTTGACATCCTGGGCTGATACTGGATTCCCTATGGCTTGGTGAAAGGCCTCCCTGCAGTAGGGTTTGCCCCGGGCCCATCACCCTGCCCGATGTGCTGGAGAGTTGGGAAGAACACAACCAGCAGATAGGACGCACCAACGGGTTTTGCACCACCCCAATACGCCGTGCAGACTTCCTGTCATACATCACGGGCCAAGCTCATAGGCTGTGATCCCAAGGTGTGTGATCACCCAGAGCTCGGGCAAACAGCGTGTGATTGACAATGATAACGGCGACACTGGCGGACAGTCTGAGCGGTCAGCCGGTGCCAACAAGCTGACACAATGCAGTCCACTGTGACCAGCGCAATCATCAGCTTAGTCACGCACCGATGGTCCGAAGATGAGATCCAGGCATTTTGCAAACATGATGCCTGGGAGACAGGCCAAGAAGACCTACCCTCAGCATTTAATGCGACATGGCCCTCCAAGAGAGCTTAGGTTGCGTGTCGGTTTGGTTTCATGGTGAATGGCAGGAGCCAGCATACCAGGTATACTTGGGCGTGCTCTTTGGACTGCCCCTTACAGTGACTTCCTTCAACCGATTTTCTCGACTGGTGGAAGCGTTATGCAGACGGCCCTGCCCTGCCGAGTATTGGTGTCACTCTACTTTGACGATGCCACCATCACCGACCTCAAGTCATCCAGAGGTTACCGGACATGGGCCGTGAATCAGCTGTGCACTCTGATTGGGTCCCCATTTGCAGCCGACAAGAAACAGATGCAAGACTCAGTAACATTCCTGGGCCTTACCCACAACCTGGCCAACATCAACCCCACCGGCTATGACAAATTTTGGGCTTGAGCTAGGCTCCATGACAAGATCAAAGGGATCATTCATATTGCTCGAACTACCGGCAGGTTCACTCGTGGCACAGCTTCCAAACTGCACGGCATTGCCAACTTCCTTGAGCAAGGCATCTATGGCCGAGTAGGCTATGGTGGCCTCATGGCCACTAAGGCTCGACAAGACGAGAAGACGACGGCCATGACACCAGAGATTGAAGCTTGCTTCGAGGTGATCGAAGCAGTTATGCGCTTTGAGTGTAAACGTGAATTTGCAGTTTTCCCGTTGCAGCAGACCCGATTTTTGGCAGCATCTGATGCTGCTGTCGAAGCTGACAACCCTGGCTCAGGTGGTTTCCGCTTTATCTTTTTCCAATGTAGCGGATCACAGATTCGTCTCAATTTTGTTGCTACCAATTGTGCCGATCTTCAAGCCCTGGCGGTGATGGCCTTGAGGGCGCTCGAGCAATCCTGACCTGGCAAAGCTCGGTCACCTGATTCATCTCGCCCTGTTTGCCATGCGAGCCCACTGACGATATCAGTAGATTAGGTTTCGATGATCCACGGTGGCTCTGCCATGGATTTAGCTTTTATTCGTCGTACCTTCCTACCATCCTTTTCCATCTGCCTTTCGTTGCAGTCACCCTCACCTTTGAATTCCTGTAGTGCCTTGTTAGTGCATTGTGTGATACCTGCAAAAGCAGGTTCCAGCCTGGGGTGACCAGGCAACTGGGAGTCAACACTGGTCTGGCATGGGGCTATGCGCGTGTCACACCGTGACCGATCCAAGGCAAACCTGAGGATAGCAGGTGAACAGACAGACTATTTGGCAGAAGGGGAAAAAGGGTGCGGAGTGAGAATACTACGAAGTCAGTTGTCACTTTGAGATGAAATTGAAGCCATGTGGTGCACATGAAAGTCCAAGTCAGTTCTAGCATGCTGCAGCTTGGCACCTTTGACAACAGCTTCACACCAAGTTGGGCCCAACGGAGACACAACACGGGGAACATTGCTTCAAACAAAGCGTCGTCGATACCCAAAAAATCTTGGCAAATACTAGTGAAAACGGGCGTTTTGAGTATATAAGTATTTTGGAATTTGGCCGGCTATGTCCCCCATTTTGAACCCATATGGACTTTAACTTGGGCCGAAGTTACTTCCAAATGGGTCCAAGTTAGTTGGGGCCAAGTTGTGCCATCTTGGAGCCAAGCTCGGCCGAAGTTGTGGCCAATTGGTCCAAGTTGGGCCGAAGTTGGGGCCTGCTGGCCGAAGTTGGCCCCAAGTCGGGCCAATGTTGCGGCCATGTCGGATCGAAACGGTCCATTTGGCCGATGCTTTGTCGATCTGCAAAGTGTGCAAATTACCGCAGCAGGGAACTGGCTTTTGGCGCCCTGTCCCGGGAAAACATGTCCCCCCCCAGCTTCATACCTGTCTGACAGATCTGTCCGGTCGCATCCACTGCTAAACCACGCCTCGGCACCTTCGGTGCGGGCGGATTTGGATGCAGTAGGGCCTGAAAGAATCACACAACGGTTCGTCTCCGGGACTTGCATTTCAGACCCCAAGTCTGCAAGAGCGCAGGCAAAGCTAAAAGAAACCACCTGCAAGATGGAATCAAAAGAGCAAACAAACAAGAACCCAACAAAAATTGGTTTAGGGGAAATGCTCGATAGCTCATTAAGTGCCGTAACGGAGCAATGTCAAGAACCATCTTGCTCTTCGTGTTGGATCCCAAGGTGCTTTCACCAATGCTATGCTACGCTCTAGGCGCTTCTTTTCTGGCGAGCGGGTTCCATACTGGTTTACATGCTCTTGTGGGCCTTTCACGGCAATTATTTCTTTTCCGAGGCAAATTTTCACGAAGTTTTTGCGTCCACGGTCCTGCGGCCCTTCGCACATTGTTGTGCCAACATTACGCGGGGGCTGATTTTCATTTCACGCGCGCATGACAGGTAAGACTTTGTTTTGTTCTACTTTCGAAAAGGTTTTGAAGTCTGAGGTTGCCCATCTGCGCTGGACCCAAGTGCCCAAGCTCATCTGCTTTTAGCCCGTCTGCAAAAAATGATAACAAAAAACATTGGCGCAAAAAACAGCATCACGCATACAATTCATGTAAAAAGTGCAGCTCCAGCGCTTTACATGTACTTGCTCAAGCCCTCAGTTCGTTAGGTAGGGAAGCGGCTTCAGGCCCCGGCTGAAGGTTTACTTCAATCTAACATGTCTTAGATTCAGCCTCCTACAAAACCATGAAAGACTAGGGTCTATACTAATACTGTAGTAACCCCCTGCAAGTAGTTGACCGTATAGATTTTGCGAGCGTATGTTGTTGTGTTTCTAGTGCGAATGATGTTGTCACTTTTGACTGAGCACTGTGCCCAGGCTCTGGAAGCTCTTTGAAGCAGGTGGCCTGGTCGGATCACACATACGAGGTTTAAGTAGAGCATCGCTCCACTCGTCGTTTCGATTGTGACTTTTCAGATCCACCCGTAAACTACCATACACAGCAGTATCCCACGCAGATCTATGCAGTATGGCAGTCTCATGTGACGATCAGTGCGATCCAAACTTGGACTGTTCTCAAGTCAGACAATAGTGGCAAATAGTGTGTGTGGCTCACCCGAAGTAGTGCGACTCACACTTCGTGTGGCTCCTGGCGTCAAGTTTTGCGAGGCAGGTGCAGCAGCTCTGGGAGGCAGCAGCAAATGTTTTTGTTGTGAGCTCATGTTTTTCAATTTGCCGACGGCCCCAAGAAACAGAACCAACACAGACTCGAATCTAAAATCCGGAGAAACATATGGATTTGTGCGTGTCCTGATAGTTTTCATGTTGTGTTGCATGCTTATGCTGTATTTCATTGCCTGCGGCAAGCCCGCCGGCCACAGAGAGGTGGCCCCAAGGGAGCGTGCTTGCACCCTTGGGTGGAAGTCGCAGAGAGAAGCAGAAGAGAAGAGAAGAGGAGGAGGAAGACAGAGCCGTAAAACGGAAGCAGCTTGTGTAGGAATTGCTTGCCGTAACACCTTATTGGCCGTATACGAAATTAGTACCGCCCCCAGTAAAAGTAGCGCCAGTACTATGTACGAGCCTTCGGCTTGACAACAGACCGGTGCATGGAAGGGGACCGTGTGGAAGCGGAGAGAGGTTGCCCCAAGAAAAAGGTTGATGTGCACGCTAGGTGGAAGCAGGAGAGAGAAGCAGAAGAGAAGAGAAGAGAAGAGAAGGGAAGGGAAGGGAAGGGAAGGGAAGAGAAGAGGAGAGGAGAGGAGAGCAGGGAAGCGAAGCGATGTGAAGCGAAGCGAAGCACAGAGAAGAGAGGAGAAGAGAAGAGAAGGGAAGTTAAGGGAAGAGAAGAGAACAGAAGGGAAGAAGAGGGAAGGAGAAGGAGAAGGAACAGGAATGGAGGAGGAGGAGAAGAAAAAGAAGATAAAGATCCGGAGACGAAGACAGGGCCGGAGAGCAGAAGCAGCTTGCGTAGCAAGTGCTGACTTTAACAACCTCTTGACCCCATAGCAAATGAGTACGGGTCGATCAGGTTTGTACCGCGTACGTCCTGTCACTAGTACAGCTAGACGACTGTAGTGCTGTGTAGACCATTTCACCAGCCACTGGCAACACCGGTCTAGTACAGGAAGAAGGAAGGAGTGGGAGTAGGAGTAGGAGTAAAAGAGTAGGAAGAGTAGGATTAGGAGTAGGAGTAGGAGTAGGAGGGAGTGGGAGTAGGAGTAGGAGTAGAGGTAGGAGGAGGAGGAGGAGTAGTGGACTAGGAGGAGGAGGAGGAGGGGTGGACACGATTCAGACGTACCAAAATCGCATAGCAAGAGAACAAAGGAACGAGTACAAACCAAGAACAGGAACAGGAACAACACCTTCCAATCAGACAGGCCGGCAGGCCGGCGGAATAGTGGCGTCATATTACAATGTCGCTTGCAATGTCACACAAGGATACACAAGGCATCTCCTCAGGTCTTGGACTGGCAGCCAAACACCTGCTGACCTCCAGTCTCATGTGCGATAAATTTGGAAAGGGGGGCGATAAATTTGGAAAGGGGGTTTAAAAGCCGATTGGCATTTCAAATTAGAAGGTTAGTGCAACTTCATTGAGCTCATGTTGGCCTGATTATATGTGCGTCATGTCATGCTCTAGCCACTCTTGCTTAGCAAGCTTTCTGGAGGGCAGAAGCCCAATCATATATCACTCTCTGTACAGGTAGATCCCCCCCACTCCCGTCGGTCCCGCGTTCAATTTCCTCCAGAACCTTTTGGAAGTAAAAGCGGCAAACCTTCTTAGAACAATGGAAACCCCATTTGCAACAAGCAGTGCTGGACACCCCATGTGCAACAAGCAGTGCTGGACGCACCAATCAAGCCAACGGCCTTTCTGTCGCAGCTGGACATGGTGTCTTAAGATAGCTCTTTGTTGCTGAAAAGGTATCTCCTCAGCTTTTTCTTTTGCAAGGTTTTAGCCTGGATGACCCATTCAAAAAGGACTTGGTTTTAGCAGAACAAGACAGCAATCACATACATGTAATGACACGCAATGAAAAATGGCAAGTGCCAACACTCTCAAGACGTGTGCGGGAGGCCGTTGCCTCATGTGCGTTAACTCTTTGCAGTGGTGCGCGCTCTTGTTTTTTCTACATATACCTGGTCACCTGGTGACGTTTTAGTAGTAAGTCGATAAGTAGCAGGCAACAATTAATTTTACTATGTTTTACCACTAGTTCTACCAGGTTCGACCACTATTGTGGGATGGAGGCACGTTAGGTGTTCCGTCAGTTGTACAGCATTGCATGTTGAAAGTGTAATTGCACCCCAGGTAAAACACCATGTATGATAGCATGCTACTATAGCTGTTCAGGCTCAGAAAAAGGATTTGAGCTGCAGGTGCTTAACGGTGTAGTTTTTACCCCTTTAGGTTTATCAGTCCATTGGGGGATAATAGGATTTCCCCAGCTGAAACCTGAAAATACAGGTTATCAGCCGTAGTCTCTAAAGCCATGGAGAGACCACACGGTGAGGTGTCTGGTAATGGTGGTGCCATTGTACCACCTACAGGATCGATGATGCCTGCAAACACTGGAGATCCAGCGACCGATGCGGCTGGAGTAAGCCCCACGCCCATGACTGTCGATGAAGGGTTCTTTTACCAACCAGCCCAGGCGAATTTCCAGTTTGTGCAGAGCAATCTTACCTACATACATGAGGGTAACATCGATGCGTTTAGACGCGAAGCTGAGGAAAGGCACACACAGATCATGGAACAAAAGGTTCAGCAACTGCGTCAGGAGTTCGGGCAGGTATGTCTTAGTGAACTTGCGCAACAGCGTGCAGAAGCAAACCGACATGAGCAGATGGCATCAGAACTCACCGGATTTGCGATGTCTCGCGCAGTAGCTGAACAAGAGGTCATGAAGTTGAGGAAGGAACTTAGTGAGGCAAACGCCAAACCGAAGAATGCTGCAAATGCAGTTGCACTGGAAGCCGAGCAAAGAGCAAACCAAAAGGTTTCACACTTGACTAGCCAGTATAAAAGCAGATATTCCGAACTCAAAGGAAACCTCGAAGCTGACTGCAAGAAAATCGTAGATGAAACGGTGGAATATGCAAGACAGGGTATGGAAGGATACAAGCATGAGGAACAAGCTGTTATCAAAGAGATGAGAGAGGAGTGCAATAGGCAGGAAGAACAAGCCGCTGAACTCAACTTTCAGCCCCAAGAAAGGGTAAATGAACTAATGGAGAAACTCAACAAGTACAAAGCGCCCGACTTCAAGATTGAAGAGCTCGAGGATGGTCCAGGTGATATCCAGTTGGAGATGTTTGCAACCCCAAAGTCTGCAAGCGCGAAGGCTGGAGCAACACCCATGCCTAACGCGGCAATGAATGACCTAGCTGCCGTTGCTAGGGAGAAATTGCACAGTTTGTTCTCCAGTACCCCAGCAGGATCAACAGCACCTCCAAAGCTCCCGACATTACCCGTGCAGAAACCGCCAAGTGACAATGCAAATCAAGAACCAAGTGTGCGCAGCCCAACCGTTGCAGCTAGCGAACCCGAAAAGCTCAAGAACACCGACGTAGGTGCCGGTCTTTCCGGACAGCAGCCTCTAGATCTCATCACTAGACTGACTTCAAAGGATTCAGATGGTGAAAAGCCTCGAGCCAAAGAGGCAGAGACTATTCGAAGGAAGTTTAGAAGTCAAACCTCCGACAATATGGACAGATGAAAAGCAGAGATGGGAAGAGTCAGAGAGAAGAGAAGAGTAGAAGAGAGAAGATCAGAGAAGAGAAAGAGTCAGAAGAAAGACGATGCAGGTGCGCGGAAAGGTAGGAAAGTCGCGAATCACTGTGTTTTTCCAATGATTTGTGGCTCAGGAGGATCGAAAAGTAGGCTCGCTAAAGCGGCGGGTGCGGAGCCATCTGGCCAGATGATAGATGAAAAATTGTACGCCGTTGTGGCGCGAAGCACATTTCGAAGTCAAAATGTACAAAGCACACCAGGTTCGGACCACTTGTGGAAGTTGCCATGTCGAAAAAGTGCACGCCGTTGTGGCGCGAACCACATTTCGAAGTCAAAATGTACAAAACACACCAGCTTCGAACCACTTTTTAGAAGTTGCGATGTCGAAAAAGTGCATGCCGTTGTGGCGCGATGCACATTTCGAAGTCAAAAGTGCAAAACACTGACGGGTACGGCCGGGTACGGAGCACTTTTGGACGTTCAGATGTGCTTTCGCGTGGCAGGCGCAAGGGATTGTGCATCTTCTCAAAAGTGAGCAAGACGTGAGGGTTTTGTGGCATTTCCAGAAATGATGGCAGGCGTGGGACATTTGAAGAGGATCTGCAAAGATGCATTTCGCGTGGCAGGCGCAGTACAAAAGACATGTTCATCAGAGATGTTAGGAGGTCAGGGCGCTGATGGTTGCTTTTTGGAGCATCAGCTCTGTAGGTTTGCTAAGATCATTTTGCGTGGCAGGTGCAGCACTTCGTATGACCTGGCATCAATTTTTCGTGGCGGGCGCGGTACTTTAGACAGGTGGATTGGGAAAATCGCAAAGCGCATTGGTACGAGGCCGTTAGCGCCGCACTCAACTTTCGATTTTTGAAGGAAGTCTCGCAGAATTGCTTTGTTTTTGAGGTTGTCAAGTTAAACAACTGAATAAGTCTCGCAGACTTGCTTCGTTTTGGATGTTGTCTAGTTCAAAAAATGAAGAAGTGTCGCAGAACTGCTTCGTTTTTGATATTGTCAACTTCGAAAAATGAGGAAGTCTCGCAGAACTGCTTCGTTTTTGATCTTGTCAACTTTATAAAATGAGGAAGTCACGCAGAATTGCTGCGTTTTTGATGTTGTCAACTTTGAAAAATGAAGAAGTCTTGCAGAATAGCTAGGTTTTCAAGCTTGCAGATAGACAGGTAGAAAGATAGACAGACAGACAGACAGACAGACGGACAGACAGACAGACAGACAGACAGAGAGAGACAGACAGACAGACAGACAGACAGACAGACAGACAGACAGACAGACAGACAGACAGACAGACAGACAGACAGACAGACAGACAGACAGACCGAGAGATAGATAGATAGATAGATAGAAAGATAGAAAGATAGATAGAAAGATAGACAGATGAGAAAGATAGATAGGTAGATAGATAGAAAGATAGACAGAAAGATAGACAGATGAGAAAGATAGACAGA